TCTGAAAATGTCAAATTTAAATAGTGAAGAAATGTAAAAAATAAGTGGTACCTGCTTTTCAGAGAACAGTAAAAAATATTAGTAAAACATTTTGATGGTTTGTCTAGACACACAAAAAAAAAACTATCATTCAGCCAGATAATAATTAGGTATGTTCTGAATAATCATGCCCCAATACCAAAAGAAGGCCATATTTTTGGCGATGTCCATGTTAAACTTGCTTATTATCGTAATATTAAAAATTATGCTTGCTCTATAAAGCTGTAGAAATAAATCGGAAACGATTTAGTAAGGTTATGTTATATTTTGTCATATAGTGCAGAAATATGAAACAATTATACAACAAACCATGATGAAGTTGTTTTGTAGAAATAAGTAATACAACTTAATTATTGTATTACAGCTGTTTTTACTACAATAATATTTTATAATTATGATTCAGTCTTAAAATAACTTTCTAATACCTCTGAATAGCCGCCATATTTAACAAAAACCTAAGACAGTTTTAAAGCTAAATCTATTGTCGGTTTTACTAGTATTTAAGACAAAACCAATGTAAATTAAAGATTTTAATCATTAGTAATATTAGCATAATCTTATTACTAAAAAAAATCAAATTGCATAAATTTAATTTTTGTTTCACACTGAAAAAGTATTAGAAATATGAATCAAACTCGAGGCGCTTAAAAATTTAGTATTGTATGTGCTATATAATTAACAGTAATTCTTGCTGCGCATCCAAAAACGATTTTATTGTAGGTCATACATTATGTTTAAACCGCGTTATAGATATCTCTTAAGTAAATACTGCCATTTTACTAATATCGCCTTGAATTTACTTTTATGACAAATATAGAATTAATTTGTTTTCACCAGACACATTTAAAAAACTAAAATGTTACTGATTTTGATATGCAACCTAACCTCAAAATTGAAAATTTATAAAACAGTTATAAAAGTTTAAAAAAACATTTGTTTAAAGTCTGTGTAAATGTGTAGTAACTGTTCGGTAACTGCATTTAACAAATCTTATAGAATTTACAAAAGAACCAAATAGTTCTGTAATACTGCGCCCATTTTGTGTTTATTACTGTTGAAAGAATGTTCCGGAAATGTTCTTAGCTAATATTCTATTTTATAAATTTTGTTCTGTAAACATTTTTTCAGCTTTTATAAAATATCAAATTGTTACTTGGGCTATACACTCTATATTATTAAAACCAAAATTTAGCGAAAACCATGAGAGTAATCGAGTCTTATCAAGAGTACCTTTTTTAAAGTAAATGAGTTGCGCAATCTAAATTTTATACTCAAACTCCTTTTCTTCCATTGGCGTAGAATTTTTTAAGGTGCAATTATTCAAAAAATCAAGTTCTACGCCTATGTATTATTATCGGACAAAATTTTAATACCATTTTTTTGTCACATAAATCTCTACCAACATACCAAATTTCAGCAAAATCATATATGCCGTTTTAAATTTATATGGGAAAAACGATTTAAAAATTGTAACTTCAAGGCCCTCTGGAGCCCAAACGAAGCAACTTTGTACTAAGGTAATTTTTCTTAAATCGACTTATTTTGGTCTAAGGAATATGTGGTATATTTTTGTAAAGACCTTTTACAGACACCCTGTATAATTTTGGACCTAGATACAAATACGATCTTTGTCCTACTGATTTCTGAGTACGAGACACAATATGGAGATGTTTTTTACTTGTGCTATGTGGATGATCTGGTAAGTTAAATAGTTGTTTATTTATATAAAATTTAATATTATTATTATAACAAAAAAATTGTTTTATATTCATAACATTTGCCTCAACAAACAATGTGTTTAAAGGATACCTGTAGGGCCCTTTGAGCATTATGTTTCAAAATCTTCTTTGCAGAACTTCAAGTGGTTGTAAATGTGTTTGTAAAGTACAACCCAACACAATGATGGCCTATCTCAATTGACTTTCTACTAAGTTATGGTACAATATTTTAAGTTGATGTGGTTGTAGATAATCTCTTATATTTTTAAATTTATATATTACCATTCTTAATTTTTGGCATACAAAAGTTATGTTTTCTTTCCATTTGAGATATGAATCATGTAAACCCCTAGATATTGTATCTTGTTTTCAGGGAGAATGGTAAGTGTTTGCCCAGAAGCAGTAAAAGTTACTTTGTCAAATGGAGGTCTTGTTATATAGCTATTTGTATTACTAGGGAGGAAAGTGCCACTTTTCCTACCGCAGGATGAAGTTTACTGCCGACGCGAAGCGGAGGGCAGTAAACATCCAAGGGAGGAAAAGGCACTTTACTCCCAAGTAATACATATGATTTTTCCGCCTCCCTCAAATAACAAGTCATTTTTAAATAATTTTCTTCGGCGCATTGCTTGAAATGTAAATACTGTTTTTCGTATTTTTCTTTAGATTTTTGGGGTAATAGAGATTGTACTGTTGCATTAACCTGTTCCAAAATATCCGGTGGTGTATTAATTATATCTTCAAATTCGCCTAAATCACTCATTTTTTAAATATTATTTTATATTTTGTAGATATATTATAGCGTAACACACTTTGAAACTGATCTGTCAATCGACCATAGCATGCTATAATATTTCTATCCTAAATTCGAAAATCGGATGAATCTATGAATTGAAGTCAAATTATTAATGTAAAAATCGTTAAATTAAAATAACAATTTACTGGTTTTTACTATTTTGCAAAATACAGGGTGTTCTATAAATAAACGGTAAAATTTATACTTATATAATAGAATATAGTTTAGGTCGTCAATGTCGTATAAGCTATTTCATTTATGACATACCATGACGTCACTTTTACTTTTTCTCCCTAGGGAGTAAAAGTACTTTTCCTCCCTAAGGAGGAAAAGTACGACTTTGCTCCCTGCAATGAGGCCAGAAAATGTATACTTTGGATAGAGGTAGGCGGAAAAAATTATTACTGAATGGTAAGTAGTGGGTTTTGTCTACATTTAGTGTCAGTAACTTACTGTTAAACCAGTTTTTCAGATTTGGGTGGTCCTGTTCAACTTTTTGCTTTAGTTCTAGCCATGACTTAGCTTTATAAAATATTGAACTGTCGTCCGCGAATCCCAAAACTTCCCCTGAACTCTCGATAGAAAATAATCCGTTGATGTAAAGATTAAATAGAATAGGACCGAGTACCGTACCTTGTGCGATATCGTAAGTTACGGATTCTAGATCACTGTAGACACCATTTATTCTTGTAACTTGTTGTCGATTTGTAAGGTAACGTTCAAATAATTCTAAATTGTGTTGAAAAATTTTTGTTATTAAACCGACAGGAAAACTGTGACTTCTTCGTAAAATCAATAGGTAATACAGATTTTTTCCTTTTGTCAATTTTAAGTTTATTCATTTATTAAGACCATGTACACCTGACCTAACATATTAATATAGTAAACCTATTTTTCGTCAAACAGAATTTTTTTTATAATGACTTTTTCCTTAAAATAAAAATAAAGATTTTTCCATTTTGTCAATTCCATACGGGAGATGTTTAAAATTTATCATTTTACTTTAAATCTTAATAATATACCTACATAAGTAAATATAAATTGACGCTAAACTTTACGTGACGTTAACTAGGCACATACCTACATCTTACTAATAGGTTTATAACTTTAAATATTATATTCAAAGGTTTATAACTGACAAACTGACCCATAACCTAGGATTTTTTTTAAAAGTATACCATACATACCTACCTAATAGGATCTTTAAGAAAACGAAAAAATCTTTTAAAACTGTTTATTTATGTAGTTTTTTGCTGCACAACTTTGCCAGTCATAGTAATACACTTAAAAGTTAAGATATTAACGCTGGAAAACAACTACTATATAAAAAGTGTCAAAACATATCTATAATTTTAAAAAAATAACAATAACTACATAATACAAACATCACAAAACAAGATAAATTTAAGATACACGCTGCTGATTCCGAGCTGCTGCAACTTTTTTGTTTTTGTCGATATAAACGACGACAGTGACGCCACTGGCTTGATTGAGAGGTTGGACCCCAAAATGGCGGTGTGCGCGTAGATGTGCGCGTAGCGTTGCCGCCAAGACAAGTTAGCCTGCCGATTGTTTCTTATGCCGTGATACTACTCTGACAATACTGGTAAGTTTAAAACTCTACGCCACTGGCGAGCTTATTACGGACACTGTTTACAAAGTTGCCAGCCGGTCCTAAGAGATCTGTCTTTCTCTCTTCCACTCACTAACAATTTTAAAACAATAACAGTCCGAAATTGTATGGGATTTATGAATGAAACATTTTGTCTCTATGTTGTAATGTTTTTGCTTGAAATACTTAATGATCTGGAAACCCATAATGAGGTAAAACTAGGGTACCAGGTCACAATGATATCCAAGGAAGGCTGTTCAACTGGCCAAAGGGTGATCAGAACTACCATTCACAGGACCCGAACCTGTATTATAGGATAAGCAAAACCTCTGCTCGACAGGCAGTGAATAGGTGTAAAACCACAAAACACCAAATTCACTGGCAACAGATAGAGGACACATAATCAGTAAGTTCATACTAAGGGGAACAAACCCACGCATGGCTACTGAAAACACATTGTATTGTAAAAATAGTGTACATCTTTACAAATTGGACACCTAACATGGTACCTTCATCAGTACAAAGTATACGAAGTAAAACCAATTCGAAGAGCTATAATACTCTTTGCTGTGGCCCAAGCATTTGACGGCATTTGGCACACTGCTCTGAAACTAGAAAAAAGTTCTTTAATCATATTTTGTAGTGAAGAGGAAGTCTACTCCTAAATAAAAGAAATTAAGAAAACCAAACACGGAATTCAGACAACAATAATAGCAAAACAGCCAAGAATCAAAGCAAGAGTTGAACTTTGAGGAATCAAACACTGTTCATTGTATTTGTACCACATTGTACCTAATAAGTAGATCTATGGTTTTCGGAAAAGGAACATCAGAAAATGTTTGAAACAGAAATTTCCCCCGTGCTGCTTTATTTAGGTCTAATTTCTATCCCTAAGATATACTTCATATAAAATTTTGCACTTTATTGAAAAATTTTAAGTAGTTATCGATAATATACATATTTAGGGTGATATATAGTTTTTACACTTAAAATTTTTCCTCTACACACAAATACTAAATCATCTATCACGTGTAGTTTTCCACACGGTCAGCTTCGTTGACACCTTCATAGTAACCCATGGAATCAGAAATAAGTCCTTTGATGTAACTACTGGTATCGCCACAAAAGCTGATAGGATTATTATTCCAATCTGCAGATGTCACCTTTGATCTCAGCTCTTCCATACTCGAAATGACATTATCCAAACTTAGTTTTTCCTCGCTATTTTTCTCTTTGATATCGATAATGCTCTTCTCCAGGTACCTCACTACCTCCTCAAACTTTTGTTTATGCAGTATATCCTGGGTTTCCAATTGATCGATTTCTTTCTGGTAATCCTGCTTCATGGCCTCCAATACTTTGAGGGTACACTTGGCTTCGAACAATTCCGATTTCGTATTATCCAGTTCGCTTTTTAGTCGTTGATAATTTTGTTTTAGACTTTCGTAGTCTGAAATATCATCGGACGATTCCATGGTTTAGAAAATGGACGAGGATCGAAAGATTGACATAAACACAAACATCAAAATAAATAAATAAATAAATTCAGTGGTGACTTGGATTATTTTTAAATATTTCTTCTTCTTTTTGTTTTGGATCGGGTTATGCAAGTCTCTTTATTAAACTGTCAGCAATGACGGAAATTTTGTTTGAATATTGCGGATAATATTCTAATTTTTTGGGACACCTGGTTATAAAGTATTTTATGTGATGAATTTACTGTGGGATAAGTCACAGGATAAAGAACAATACAGAAAAGAAACATAGGGCTAAAACAGGAACCTAGCAACCGAAGCTACATCTTCTTCATGGTGGAGCATTGTCAAAATTGAACCGTAGATTTGTTACTTGTTCGAAGTGCAACAGTGCACACTTTTATAGCAGATGAACGAAGCTGTCACTGCTGTCGCTGTTAGAAAATAAACATTTTTTTTCCTGTCGTGTCTTTATTTGTCGTTTTGGATTTTTGGTTGTTTTCAGAGAATATTCTGATAACTTTTACGTTTTTTTTAGTGGTTTATTTTTAGTTTTTGTTGATGTTTTTAATTGTGGAGTTATTAATTGAAGACTTTATTGTACGTATTAAGATTAGGTTTATAAACAATACCGCGTCAAAGAGGTGAAGGATATACTTGTATTTATCGTGGATGTTCCTCAAGAACAGGTGGCAAAGAAGGATTGTTTACTCTTGTGAAAGATCCAGTGAGGTAGGTATGAAACCTTGAGGGTGAAATGGGAATTGACCTTGCCATAACATGGTAGTACAATGATTGTATGTATTTTTCAGACTTGAATTGTGGCTTAAGGCAGCAAATAGAGAGAACTTATTGGGAAAGGGTGTTGAACACTTAAGTAAAAATTACAAAATTTGTAAACTACACTTCCAGGATAAACTCGTTTATCAGTCGGGAACAAGAAAACGATTATTTGCAAATGCATTCCCAACAGTATTTCCCCATTCAGAACCTACGAAAAGAGTCACAGTTTTGCAAGGTAAATAAATACAATTTATAGTTAAATGTTACAAAAAAATTGCTACTAATAATCTTAGAATATCAACCCATACATTCCATTTTGTAGAACTATCTCGGAGGTAAACTGCACTATGTCGACATACAATAACTTATGTAAATTAAAATAAAGTAGTTTTAGTAGTTAGGTTAGTAAAAAATATAAATATTGTGACAATAAATGTGTGTCTAAATGCATATCTAGTTGAAATTTAATAATTTAACAACATTCAATCTGCTGTACTAAAAAGTTTACTAAAATGACAGTGCAGTTTACCTCCTAGGCACAGAAATATATTCACATTTTATAAAATTATTTTAAATTTCATCTGGCTAAAAAGTGTGACTCAAACATTTAATTCTGATGAATGATGCACCTTCTTGACACTAGTTGATCTGATAAAAATTTGGTTCCTCTTTCTTTTTTTAGAGGAATTTGTTGTTCATGGCGAAGAAGGCAAAGACAACTTGTATCTACCCTCAACTTCAGCAGAAGTAAAATTTATTGAAAAAGTTCATAGTCAACCATCTGTTTCTCTACCTTGTGTAACACAATAAGTATACATAGTGAATATCTAATAATTACACTGTGCAGTTTCAACATTATGGGGGTTATTATATGTTCTAGCTTACCCTGTCTTCCCCACTGGAAGAACCTCTATTTTATCAATACCCATATTCAATTCCCGAGGATATCTTAACACGGAAGCGTCTCATATTTTTATGAAAGCATAGTCATAATTAGTAAACAGCCGACCGACTTCTCCCAGTTTCCTTGCTCAAAGTTATCTTCCAATTAAATAGGCAGTCATCAAACGGGACCGAAGAGTACGAACCTATTCAACAACAGAAAACCAATTACTCCGTTAAAATGATGCGACAAACATTCTAACGTTCTGTGCAAACCGGGAAGCGACTGCCGCTCGTTCCACCTCCGGAATTATATGTAGTTTGGCGTTGCAAGACCAGCGGCGGCCATATCGAAACTGAAAAAAACATGCCACAAAATCATAGCGACGTGATGTTTTTCTTGCTTTGTAGACCAGATTCTCGACTTTTATTCCAATGGAAAAATAAGCGGTGGAATATTTTCCAATGAGAAGTATGGGAAAATATTCCCCTGCATACGAGCATTGGAAATTGTATTTTCCAATGGGAATTGTACTAGAGTTTGCGCATTAAAGTCGAAAATTTGACAAAAAACTAAGACATAACCAAAGATTATTGGAGTAAATTGGAGTGGTAAATTTAATAAGGCCTTTTCGAAAATTTTATTATTTCCGTTAACGAAAGAATTTCTTAGTTTCTCGAAACTTTCGTTGCTCTTCCATACAGAAGCTACTTTTTCTTTTTTCAACAAGTGAAAAGAAAAACTAAATAATTCGACAAGTTTTACCTAAATATAAATAATCGAATATTTTCACTTGTTCCTCGGTCATGCTAGCGATTACTCGGTACGGCATACCTGCTCCAGCGCGGAGGATCGGCAGGTAACCGGTTACCCAAAAACCACAACAAATACAAATAATGCCAACAGTAAATTTAAAAATATCTTTAATAATAATACTCTCCCTAATTCACCCCCTTACGAGTGAATTTCAACCCCTGAAGTCGACTGAACGACTTGTGTAGGGGAAGGGACGGCTATTATTATTATTTGCCGTGGCGCTCCGGGGCGACTTAAAGATGATTGATGATGCCATTTGACTTACAGGTGAGGAAAACCCGGAAAACCTCACCCACCATCATCGAGACGGTAATGTATGGCGAATTTTTTTAATCTGCATGTCATATCAACAGAAATTGAATTTCTATTAATACGCCACACATCAAATCCTAAACCGAACCATGCAATTTAATTAAAAATCCACATGGTCTGGTCTGGGATTCGAAACCGAGCAGTCTCAGACTCATAAACTTGCCTATAAATAAATATAAGCGCGATAGACCGCTACACCACCGTCCCGTTATTGGTTATTTCGAAATATTCGTGGACTTAATATCAGACATACGTGAAACTACTATTTCCATGGGAATGTCTATTCCGACAAGTTCGAGAATTGCATAACTTATTACCATGGGAATATAAGTAGTGGAATCTTTTCCCATGGGAAAATTTTCCAATGAACTCGAGAATCGAGCCACAGGGGTAGAATTCTAGAGTCTCGCATGAAAATTGTCGCACATGGCAAATGTCGTATACCAAATTCGTATGGTTGTTAAAAATACACATTTAGGGGTGCGTTTAAACCTGAGGCCGGGGTTTTAGAAAACTGAAATTTTCAGTGAATGTAGTCGTGAAGTACCTGATTAAATCCCACTTAGTCAGAATGTGGCACAAATCGCCGTGTCCTCATAAAATAATAATATTTTCGGGGTGCTTTTTAACTTATGACGCCGGGGTTTTAGAATACAGCTATTTTTAGAAAAAGTGGTCCTCAAGTAACAGATTAAATCCCAAATAACCAGAATATGGCATAATATATAAATTTCTCGTGAGAAAATAATACCTATTTAGGTGTGCGTTTAAACCTATGACACCGTGGTTTTAGAAAACCCTAGAGGTAGTATTCTCGAATGTCAAATACCTCGATTCGCATGCAAGATTAGTGAAATGTCGAATAGCAACTAGATGATTTTAAAAAAGTGTATCCTCGAAAACAGGATACGACAAATGGCAGGTGAATTCAACACGAGTGGTCTAAAGTGCTCTAATTTAAATTCGTGTGCAAGGTACCACTCATTATAACTTGACACATGTCATACATATACTTCTGATCCGAAATTAAATCGCTAGTCGGCATATCTGAAAGTGAAGATTCGATTCGTTAAAAGTTGACAGAGGTATGTTTCTCACAATTCCCTAATGCTTTTCCAATGGGTCCTTGAAAGCCCCGAGAGCCAGTTGTGGTTCCATCCTAATGCTGTACTAAATGCCTTAGAGGGAGTTCATTGGCATAAAACTGGCAAATAATCCATTGCTTTGCCCTTTGTAAACTATTCTCTAAACGAGTAATTATTCCTGCCTTATATCCAGTATTGCAATTAGTCCCATCACAGCCTACCACTTGCATCAAATCTGTAGAAATTGAAGAGGATTAAAAAAAATCCAACGTACTTTGTAACACATTTTGCGCTGAGCAACTAGGGGTTGAATAATGTCCAAGATATTTGGACTAGGGTTCTTGTATTAGAACAATATGTTCTTCTACAATGCTTTTTTTTCAGTTCTCAAGGTCAAATTAATTTTTCTACGATTGTTTAAAAACTTTTATTAGTGTTGCATGGTAAAATAAAGTAAGTAACCTACAAATGTAATATTTACAAAAGGCTCGTGACGTCTGACGGGTTTTTTTAAATTATTTTTAATATTTTTATTTTAAAGATGCCTGATCGTTAAACAGGCTCAATAAATGAAGATAATCCATTTTCCTTAGGAAAATAATACGATTTGGGTTTATTATCCAGCCTCTGCCGCCGTTTTGTCCTACATAAATAATTTGACCTTGGGGAGGTGGAAAACAAAGTCCAATAATTTTTTGTCATAGAAGTAATTTACACAACTTTTCCACACCTAGGTGTTTTGCTTTTTCTAAATTTCAAATGTCGCACCACCCTAATAAATAACCAATGTCCTGTGGTGAACTATTCAAAGAAGAAACTGTAAACTCAAATATCTGTAAACTATGTTTGTGTTACATAGACCCTTCTTCCACTTATATCTTTAGTTCAACAAAGAAGCCAAAATCATCACCAAAGATTCCCAGGACATTTATGGGAGTTTAAAATTAGTCTTCAGATCATTAAAATAAACCATAAAAATTTTATTTAAAAAAAATTAATTTATCCTGTTGCATAAAATAATATTTAGGTTTGTACTTACATTTATGTTTCGTCCTGGATCATTTTCAATAAGCTGTCTAGCCAGATCTTTGCAGGATTTCCTAGCGGCAGGCGGAACCTTGGAATCATCCTCCCAATACCTGGAGGGCGAGTGACCATACAAAGCTGCCGGAGTGGCGTGAGTTATTCGAGTATTTGTTACTAACCCTGTAGATTTTCCTGTAACAGAAATTGAAATTGCTGTCGCATATAAATTTAATCGGCTTTTTAATAATTGATTCGTTTTGATGAATAAAATTGTTGGTTTATTTGTTTGTTTGTTTGTATGCAATATATGGCTAATGTAAACTGTCAGGGTGAAGCTGCTAAATTCGTATTTTATGTTGTCTGAACAGTTGTTTGATTATACTGTTTGGTATTAAATCGCTAAAAGCAGAAAAAGAGCTTAAAATTTTTGTTTTTAATATTAACAACAAATCTGATAGTATTTTGTTTTTTATTTATTGAAACGCATTGAACGAAAAGGCCATTAGCGTCATTTAGGTTAACAGCTTTTAAAAAACAGAAATTAAATTGATAGTAAGATTTTATATAAAATGTAGAGTATTTTAAAACACAAAAAGTACTGTAATATTTTTGTTGTAAATAATAAAGGGAATTTGAATTCTGCTTTTCTTAAACAACATTCAACAAATACCTAACTCTGTTTAAATGAGAGGGTGGATAGATATGAATTGTAGGGATTGTGTAAGATGGAAAAAGAAATGGCTTTTCATTGCTCACAAAGTTATTTTTGTATTTGTTATGTGTGAAGGGTGGGTTGCGTTACAGCACTTAGGCTTCAATAGTTTATACTTGTGAATACTTCTAATATGATAAACATCTCCTAGCCCTTAAGCCAGCCTACAGATTTTATGTAGTTGACAACGTCACCAAAAGATGATTCAATTATATCAGCAGATGTTAGCCAATTCCCGCCAATCAAAAATCTTCTAATACAATGAAAGCGTCTGGAAATCATAGAGGATATGCTCGATGGTCTTATCTTTTTGTTTGCATGATCTGTTTGCAGATTCTTTCTAGTCATAGTCAAGTATTTGTTTGCTGTAGTATTGTTAGGATAACGTAAAACTCCCTGGCAACTCTGCATATTCTTGTTTCATCTCATATTTCCTTGAAATTCACAAGGGAAAATTCTATAATTAGATTTGTCACTATCAATGTTGTCAGTCATCGTTCGAAAATCGTAATATACCATTCTAAAGTTAGGTTTCATTTGTAAGGACTAAAAGTATTGTACAAATTTCGGTTCAACATAGAGCTAGAATCAATATTTCAAATGATACTTTGTAAAATTTGGTAGCTAAGAGAGCCGTCAGATGAGTTCCGTTGTACTGACAGATAATTATTACATGTACTAGAATATGTTGTTTTGAATGTATGCTATGATAAAATATATTATGCAATAAGGAAAACTAAGATAGCTAGCCTGGTCGAAGAAGTTACATGGCAAGAATGCATGGATTGTGGTGCGAAAGACACCCACAGCCTAATCACAGCTCTAAACAACATCTTCGCAGATTCGGTTATGTAAGAACACCACAAAATGATACAGAAGCACCGGCAGCACCAGTCCAAGATTAAATCCAACCGGTTCAAGAACTAGCTCAAACCCAGCACGTTTACCTCGAGAACACCAACAATGGACTATCACTAAGGCAAACAAGAATATTTTTTTTAACATCAAGTGTAATATCAAACCGCAGGACATCATCAACATGGATGCAGCTGTCGCTGGAGAACTTTTAGAAATAACAGACATTATAATTTTAAGGTGAAGGGTGAGAAAAAGTCCTTTATATCTCACAAGGAAAGCCAATGTTTAATTGTTTAACAAAACATTGAGTGCGACCGGTTTCGAAGTGTCATCACTTCATCTTCAGGCTCGCCATACTCTGTCAAAGACATTATAACCCTTAACAATTCCATCTAATTTTATTGTGCGATGCACAAATTTAAGTGCCGAATTATATTTTAATATTAAGCCGCAGGTAGATTCTAAAATTCACGGGCTACAATGGCATAATGTAACACTACAAGAGATGAAAAATGTTTTTGGTTATTGGAGTACAGGTTCTAATATCAACATATCGTAATAAGGGACTTAGCAGAAAGCGATTTCTATCTATTTTAAAATTTCCTAGTTTCGCTAACCCAAATGCTTTAGTACCAAATGATAGATTATGTCTTATCAGGCCATTCCTAAAAAATTTGCAATAAACATTTCAAAATAATTATCAATCTAATAAAAAAGTCGTATTGTATTCACTGATGTTGTTCAAAGGACGGTTACATTTCCGACAATACAAGTCAAAGCGTACTAGATCTGGTATCAGAATTTTTGCTCTCTTCATTTCTGACGGGTATATGTACAGCTTTGAAATTTATATGGGACTAGGACAACAACAATTTGTCCTTCAGGATGCCAATGCCTCAGATCTGTCATTATCAGAAAGAATAGTAGTACATCTTGGTCGAAATTTACTGGACTTAGGCTATTCTTTCTATACAGATTATTGGTATAATAGTATGCGGCTCGCCGAGTACTTGCTACACAGGGAAACCATTTTTACTGGCACGATTTGTCCAAATAGAGATTTAAGACTCTCCATTAAATAAACATCGAAGAGCATGTGTCACAAAAGAAAATATTTTGGTATTGAAATATTTTGAAAACAAGAGACTATTTAATTTCAGCAAAGTACACTGTTGAATTGACCGAGAGAGTCAGATTCGTTAATTTCTTTTTTAAGAATGTTGATAGGTGAAAATACATTATTTGGTTTAGGCTGATTTTGTTTTATATTTAAAAAAAAAATCTTACTTTTTTTCTTACTTAGTTAAAATATTTGTTCAAAATAGATTTATAATAAAATGTATTGTTTAAATTTTCAGCGTAAACCTTTCCAATATAATACTCTTGCTAGTTATCTCAGTGTATATTCATTCGACGTACGTCGTACGTCTAATGGTATACGGTATGCAGACGTATACCGTACGTTCGCTGGTATAGATCGAATCCAACTTGCTGGGATTATTAACGGCATGTAAAAATAGTGGCTGGTGCTGAAAGGGTTAAAAATGTCTACAAAACATACGCTTGATAAAAGTTTAAATTAACACATAAAACATCCAAATGATTAACTAATTTTAATCACTAAAATTATGAACCAATTTCAAATACCATTTATAATATGATGATGAGTCATCCATAGTACAACATGGCTACCACTTCCGTCAGATTGATTAGATTAACGCGGATATGGCATGCTCATTTCTGACTATATATGTTCTAAGGTTTGAAGTCAGTATCATAGATAAATTAATAACACAAGATCAATTTTTTAAATGCACGCCACTATCAACACGTTGTAGTTCCCAGCATACTATTAGTTAGAGCCACCAACGCAATAGTATAAAAGCGATGTTGCTGGTTTCCGTAAACTTTTATGAGATGAGAGTTATTTCAAATTCATTTTGTTTTAATTTTTTATCAATCTACATGCGCACCATACCATCCATACAAGATCCATACTATTGCTGTGATTTTTAAAAGAAGGAGTTGACAACCTCGAAAAAAATGAAAGTTCTACAGATCAGTAAGTTATTTTTAAGAAAATAAACAGTGTTGATTTGATGTAATTAGTAAGTATTAGCAATTAAATTTAATATTAAAGGTGTGTAGGTTTATTTAAGGACTTTTTTTATCATTGTTTTCTTAACCTTATATAATTTCATATTGCATGGGTTTTCAGTTCTGTTTTAATATTTCAAAACAAAAAATGTCTGGCCCGGGTATAGTTAAGTATTCTCGAGAGTATTCTTGTTCAGCTCCTAATTGTATAAATAAGTATTATTCTAAAATTCAGAAAGTTGGATATTCAAATATTAAACTTTTTTCATTTTCCTTCCGATATTAAAATTTTCCAGAACTGATTTAATACTTTAGATAATAATACTCGCTATCTTTGTACATACCATTTTTACCTGAGTCTTTTTGTAGGGGTTTCCCAGAACGTAAACTGCTAGTTGGACATTCTGTACCAATTTCATTAGATAATTGTGCATCTAGTTCAAATATACAACCTGAGAATAAATTTTAGAATATGTTTAGGCTGAAGCACAAATATAGCAGCATAAGAAAAACAAGAAATTAGTTGCAAACGTAAACTTAATAATGTAGTGGTGAACAATTTGAACGACCCTCGAAACGAAGAAAAACAGTAAATAAAGTAGAGTCAGAAATTTAAGTCCTAAAGAGAAAAAGTTGTATTTTATTATTATTTGATAAGAGAAATTGTTTAATAAGACATGTGTACACTTTTTGTTTTTTTATAGGAAACACGGGACACCCAACAAAACATGGTCCATTTTTCCAAGAATGGGGAGACTACCTACTGTTCATTTTACTTACAATTGTTATTTAATATTGAGCTCATTACCATGAATGTATTACTGTATAATAAATAATTAAAATATATGAAGAGGTTGAGTGGTATGTACACACTGGGTAATAAGAAATGAATCGAGAGTATTCTCTTAATTATAAACCCAAATATACTGTTTTAAATTCAATTGATCTAGTTAACAAAATTAAAAACATAAATCTAAGTCCGAAGTTAAGTTAGTTTCTTTTGATGTTAGCAATTTATTCACTAATGTTCCCAGAGAGGAAACCTTTCCTATTATCAAGGACCTTTTTACTAAAAATAACTTTAACCTTTATTCTATCAATATTATCTTGGATTTACTCAAAGTCTGTCTTGACCAAGATTTCTTTATTTTTAGTAAAACATTCTATAGACAACCCAATGGCCTAACAATGGGTAATCCTCTAAGTCCTTTGTTTATTTATTTATTTAACAGAAAACAAACAGGTTTTATAACCTCATTACATGTTCTCCTAAGAATAATGAAACTACAACTAAATGCATTTACCAATGCTCCCAATAAAGTTAATATAAAAGAGGAAAGAAATAAAAAATATATACGAGTATAAGTACA